GGGGCTCGAGCCTGGGGGGCGGAGGCAGGGGGGGCTCGAGCCTGGGGGGCGGAGGCAGGAGGGGCTCGAGCCTGGGGGGCGGAGGCTGTGCTGAGCCGGGAGCGCGCCACTGCCCTCCAGCTGGGCGACCAGAGCGAAGCTCCGTCTCAAAAAAAAGTTTTTTTTATGTGCAACTTAGAAAAGGGGCACAAAAGGGGTACAGAGACTCCCCGTGCCTCCTTCCATGAGCCCCTAGGATGCTGACCTCTGGCAGAACAGAACCGCAGTTCATTCAGCAGCAAGCAGGCGTTGGCGTTCATGTTGGTGCGATGCCACTCTGCCCTCCAGGGTTGTTGGAAGTCGATGCTCGGTGCTGCGAAGAAAAGTGGGCGCTGGGACAGCGCGGTTCTTACTTCCCGGACTGCGGGAAGGGCACCCTCCCCGACCGTGTTGTCTGCAGAGCACAGTGAATTCGGGAATGCACGCGGATGTATTCCGTACGCCTTTGGGGTTGTCCTTACTCCTGCGTCTGATCTCCTTTGGCTGCAGCCACACCCCACGATCGAAACTAAACCCAATTGGCTAACAGCTGAAAACTCTCTAAACAGGTAAAAGCCACGGAGAGCTGGGACCTGCCTGTGGGCATCTCCAGCACGGGTGTCTTGGTGAAAGTACAGGGACGTTGAATGTGCTGCAGTCAATGTAGTAAGCACGGCATGTCTAACAGCTACATAGGATAGGGCCTAACAAAGTTATTGACACACTTACTGTTTAACGAGACAGGAAAGTTTCTACTTCCCACAACGATTTATTCTCACTTAGCGGCTAACTCATGGATGACTTTACTGTGGTCTAGGGTCCGATGATGAGTCTCCTATTTTGTAAAATGCCCCCTGGTTTGGGTTTCTCTGATGTCTTCTCGTTAATTGATTTTATATTATGCATTTTTGGCAAGAAAACTTCAAAAAGGGCAATTGCGTCCTTCCCAGTGTCTTAGAAGGCACAGGGTGGCCATGGCTGTTGGTGTTAGTCAGGTCCCTGTGGCTGAGGTGGTGTCCACCAAGTGTATCATAAAGTATCTTGTGGGGAAATATTTTGTGACTATATAAAGATCTTGTTTCTTTTTTTTTTTTTGAGACGGAATCTCTCTCAGTCACCAGGCTGGAGTTCAGCGTCTGTCGCGATCCTGGCTCACTGCAACCTCCATCTCCTGGGTTCAAGCGATTCTGCCTCAGCCTCCTGAGCAGGTGGGATTACTGGCGCCTGCCATCACGTCCAGCTAATTTTTTTTTTTTTTTTCCTGTATTTTTAGTAAAGACAGGGTTTCACCATGTTGGTTAGGCTAGTCTTGAACTGCTGACCTCAAGTGATCTGCCCGCCTCAGCCTCCGAAAGTGCTGGGATTACAGGCCTGAGCCACAGGCCCTGCAAGAGGTTGTTTCTAATCATACTCCTATCACTGACTTTAGCACCGCCGAGTGTTTCCCGAAAATAACTGTTAGTGTGCCATTTGTTAAATGATTTTTCTGTTTCCATTACTCCTACATTTATTAGTTAGGATTCTCCTGTAAGAAAGAACCATCTCTTCTCATCATTTTTCTATTCAGTTGTTAATTTTCGTTAGTATATCTTTTTTTTTTTTTTTTTTTTTTGAGATAGAATCTCACTCTGCCTCCCAAGGCTGGAGTGCAGTGGCATGATCTTGGCTCACTGCAAGCTCTGCCTCCTGGATTCAATTAATTCTCCTGCCTCAGCCTCCTGAGTAGGTAGGATTACAGACACCCACCACTGTGTCCGGCTAATTTTTGTGTTTCTAGTAGAGATGGGGTTTCATCATCTTGGCCAGGCTGATCTTGAACTCCTGACCTCAAGTGATCCACCCACCTCGGCCTCCCACAGTGCTGGGAGTACAGGTGTGAGCCACCCTGCCCGTCCTATTTTTGTTAGTACATCTTTTTATTCTATGGATTCTAATCCATTGCTATCATGTATTTTGTTGCTCACATTGTCCAGATTGAGGTGTTAGGAGCCCCTTCATGTTGGCCTCTCTGTAGCCATTCCAGCCTTCTGGAGCTCTGTCTTTCTTTCTGGCACCACAGAATTCAGGCTCGTCTTGTGCTTGCCTTGACATGTCCCAGAATCAGTCATTTCTCCAAGGAGCCCTGGTTCCTTTTAGTTTAGAAGGTGGTGTTGGCCAGGCAGGATGGCTCATGCCTGTAATCCCAGCACTTTGGCAGGCCGAGGCAGGCAGATCATGAGATCAGGAGTTCAAGACCAGACTGGCCAACATGGTGAAACCTCGTTTCTACTAAAAAATAACAAAAATTAGCTGGGCATGGCGGCTCATGCCTATAATCCCAGCTACTTGGGAGGCTGAAGTAGAAGAATTGCTTGAACCGGGACATGGGAGGTGGAGGTTGCAGTGAGCTGAGATCGAGCCACTGCACTCCAGCCTGAGCTACAGAGCGAGATTCTATGTCAAAAAAAAAAAGAAGGTGGTGTTTAGAAATCAAGATCCTGGTGTCAGATAGATATATTGCTATGGATGCCATTTCTTCTTGGCTTTCTATACACAGCTAGGTTCTATACACTATACGCATATAAATCTATTTCAGTATAACCGTATCTGTGTTTGTATATATAGTAAACTGTGGCTGGGTGCAGTGTCTCATGCCTATAATCCCAGCACTTTGGGAAGCTGAGCGGGGAAAATCGCTTGAGGTGAGAAGTTAGAAACCAGCCTGGCCAACAAAGTAAGGCACTCATCTCTATAAAAAATTATAAAATAAATGAGCCGGGCATGCTGGCATGTGCCTGTAGTCCCAGCTACTCTGGAGGCTGTGGTGGGAGGACCATCTGAGCCCAGGAGTTTGAGGCTGCAGTGAGCTATAATTGTGCCACTGCACTCCAGCTTGGGTGACAGAGTGAGATTTCATCTCAACAAACAACAAACACATACACAAAAAAAACCCTGTGGGTTTATTACAAGTTATTCACTTGTAATCATGTTAGGTTCACTTGTTTCTATTTCATTTTGATTACTTACTGATTTTAAGTTTTTTAGTTTTTGTTTTCTGGCACGTGAAACGTGTGGTTCTAAAAGTCCGCAAAATCTAAACTCAACTACAAGACTTCTATTTCTCATTTAGTCACTTTTTTACTTTTTTTTTTTTTTTTTTTTTTTTTTGAGACGAAGTCTTGCTCTATTGCCAGGCTGGGGCGCAGTGGTGCAGTCTTGGCTCACTGCAACCTCCGCCTCCCAGGCTCAAGTGATTCTTCCTCCTCAGTCTCCTGAGTAGCTGGGACTACAGGCACCCACCACCACACCCTGCTAATTTTTGTATTTTTAGTAGAGACAGGGTTTCACCATGTTGGCCAAGATGGTCTCCATCTCTTGACCTCGTGATCCACCCACCTTGGCCTCCCAAAGTGCTGAGATTACAGGTGTGAGCCACCGTGCCCGGCCCGTAAATTTACTCATTTTTTGGGGGCAAGTGCAGATTCAAAGAAAAGTTCCTTCATGGTGGTGGTACCCCTCTTCCCCAGCAAGTGCCAGTGATAGAATTAAGACCTACTGCCAATCTCTCTTTCAGTTTTAAAAAATGGTTTGTGGCTACTCTTTGGCAGACAGTGGAGGAAGTGAAAAAAAGCTTGGGGTCATTTAAAGAGTAGATGAGAGGCTGGGCACAGTGGCTCAAACCTATAAGCAGGGGGAAGGATTGCTTGACTTATATCTTTTAGATGGGCATTTGAGGCTGCAGTGAGGCGTGATCGTGCCATGGCACTCCAGCCTGGGCAACAGAGTGAGACCCTGTCTCAAAAAAAAGAAGGTTGAATGTACTGAATTTTGCCTCCCAGAGGGTTGAGCAGCATTCTCTGGAATCCAACAGGGGCCACAAGAGCTAAATTCAGTACATTTAAAGGTGAGCAGATCACTTGAGGCCAGGAGTTCAAGACCAGCTGGGCAACGTAGTGGAACCCCCATCTCTATGAGAAATTAAAAAAAAAAATTTAACTGGGCATGGTGGTGCCTGCTTGTAGTTCCAGCTACTCAGGGTGCTGAGATTGAATCCCCTGTTCTGAGTACAGAGTGAGTGAGCCACCCTGGACTTGCCTTCAAGTCCCAGAAAGTGTTTTATAAGTTAAGGGTATTAGGCCGGATGCAGTGGCTCACACCTGTAATCCCAGCACTTTGGGAGGCCGAGGCGGGTGGATCACCTGAAGTCAGGATTTCAAGACCAGCCTGGCCAAGATGGCGAAACTCTGTCTCTACTAAAAATATAAAAATT